TTTTGGGATTTTTGGAATTTTTGGTAATATACTCAATAGCTCTGTTTTGAATATATTACAGTGGTACCAAATACTTTGAATGCTTCAGAGTTCAAACTGCACACACAGTGAAAAATGCACTTGAAACATAAACACAATCTGTCTGTGCATCCAAATTCTCTTTCACTCTTGTGTTACACTCATATGTTTTACTTGCTTTTATCACTTTAATTTTGGTGTGTTTGGTTATATACAATATATTGTGTGTTATTTGTCTATTTTTAGCAATTTCTCCCTGTAAGCTTTTCTTTGTCAACAGCTTTGGGTGCCCTGTATGTTTTGAATCCTTTAATTTAAAATTTTTTGAATGGTACTTTTTTAAATGTTTGAAGTTTAGTAGCATCTTCCCTATACGCATTATAAATTGTTTTTATTGTTTGTAAGGCATTATATCCTTTCTGAAACTCATAAAGTATATGCCTGATATGCTTTTTAATTGAAGACATTTCAACTTGATGTTCAAACAAAATGTGAAGAGATAAATTTAAAATAAGCTTTTAAATAAAGAATACAATCTCATATTAGCAGTAACATGAGATTATGTTTGTTATAATTGAATGTTATAATTCAGGGATGGCCAACACGTAGACCATGATCGACCGCAAATGTTTTGAAAGTAGCCCGCGAAGCTAAAGTTGAACAATTTGCTTTCACTTAAATTAACGTTTAAAAATCTTAATTCAATAATTTATTCTTACAATAATAGACTGTCTTTGCAATGTACCCATACTGTTTGTATTTATCCTGATGAATAATGCAAATGAATGTTAACACATGTGCATATAAAAATCCTAAAATTGTTTGCCCATATTTATAGTCACCTGCAGACTATATTTTACCAAAAAAGTAGCCCCTAAGGGATAAAAGTTTGGCTACACCTGTTATAATTAAATCACACATCTATGTTAAATAATGACAGCTGTTAATTAATAATATGCAAAAATTTTCTGTTGAACACCATATAACCATTACTTATTAACCATGCATTCAAGAAGTGTACGGAATCAATAAAATTTAACAGGAAGGTTGTAATATAAACGATTGAAATGAAAAAAGGAACTTAATCACTAAGCAGTTATTATCCTCAAAATTAAGACTTTTGTCTATTTATTATAATTATTTTTTTTAACATCAAAAGCAACTGCTGAAATTTGTTCAGTTGTATATATTGGCAAAATAATTTCACTAGGATGTGTACCTTCTACTGGAAGTTCAACACCCTTAATGGCAAAAGGTTTGTAGGTAGTATAAGGCAAAAAAGAGGATGGGATTTTAATATCAAGGCAGTGTGTTTGTAAGTTGTAAGTTGAGCCTTCTGGACAGTAACACAATGGACCCTTTGGACTAGGTTGACAACCATATCGGCATGTGCTTGATCTACACATATCAGATTCACAAAAGTCTTGTTCATCACTTCCATCTAAGCAATTCAATATGCCATCACACAATTCTATAATTAGAATGCACTGAGTAGAATTGATGTACTTAAAATAATTTAAAGGACAATGGAATTCTTTATGATATGTATTTAATTCGTATTTATTATAGTTTAAAGCACATATTTCTATAAATATAATTAAGCCGGTAAAAGAGAATAATAATAAATAAGGCAAACATCCGCAACTGAAAACCGTGTTAAACTTATTCGTAAGACGAATAAAATAAAAGTTTTTGATTATATGATAATATATAAAGAATTAAACACGGTAAAATTAATCATATCCTGATATTATGCCGGATCGTCTTATGTTTCTCTTTGTCCTCTACCTGTTGTGGAAGCAGATGAAGTGGTTAATCTATTTATTATAATTCGTAATATAAAAGTTATTTCTTAAATAAAATCTCATAACAGCTAGAAAATTTATGCAACTTGTTGCTGAATTTTTTACAATTTATTTCTAGATATTCTCATTTATTATTAAATTAAAATATAAAATAATCAATATACTTTTTATAACTTTAAAATGCAAAAAAAATAATTATTGAAATCTTTTTAAAATTGCTGATTGTAAGAATGAAACAGATATTTCTTTCTTTTTATCAGTTATCATTATCGGAAACATATTTTGAAGATAAATCCATTAGTGACCTAAAATTTTTTGAAAGATGTTTAGCATCTCATTTTCAAAGTTGCAGCTGTTCAGCTATAATTGGACAAACAGAAAATGATATTAATAAAGTAAGTATAAATTAAATATGTTAGTTTAAAAAAGTTAGAGAAATTTTTATGAAATTTAATTAAGTATATAAAGTAAGTTTTTAACACAACTATAAAATAAAAAATTAGTGTGTAATTTAATATAGACACAGAAATAATTTATTAAAATAAGTGAATAAATTTATTATAATAAATTTTTAAAAGTAATTTTATAATTATTTTAGTAAGTGAATTATTCATTATAATAAAAATAAATAATTTTTATTAAAATAAGTATTACAAAAATATTAATGTTTATATGTACTGTATACACAATATTTATTTGATTCTAAGCTGCACCCTTTTTATTATTTTAATGTCCTTGAAAATTGGGTAGACTTACATTTAAAAGTGGTTAAATTTTACCTGAAAAGGCATTTTTTAAAGTACCATAAATCTATTCTATACCATGTCTAATATCCCCTGACCTAATTTCATCATCATCCAATCAGTAGTATTTAGTTAGGATTCTTTTTTTTGGGAATGATATGTCAGTTTGCAATATGATAATGTTTGATTGATTATTTTATAGTATTTTTAACCTTTTGAGCTTTTGAACTTATAAAGGTTTGATGTTTGTATCAACAAGCCATTTAAGGACTAAGAAAATAATACAAAAATTGCTTTAACCACTTGTGGGAAAATAATATTGGTGAGTGCTTCAAAAATTGTGGAATGGCTATCTGTCACCTGGCAAAAGTTCCCAGAGAAATAATAATTCATTCCTTTAAAAAATGGATGGCACAAAAGATGACTTAGTTTGGGAAAATAATGATGCCAACAGCAATTTCAAAATCAGCTGTGATAGTGTGACTAATGAATGATTGTCACAATGTGATAGTGAAAGCACTTAAATACATAATTTAAAGTAAATCTTAAGATTTTTTAAATAAATTAATTCTTAACTTCTTCTTACTTCTCATTTTTACTTTCCTGGCTTTGTTAAATATATAACAAAGAGAAAGTATTTGATCAAAAATTACCTCCTCAAGATTTTTACATTTTTGGACTCAGGGCACTTTGGAACATTGAGAAATGTAAAAAAATTTGGGGATTTTTTTGTGTGTATGAATATTAGTGTGTGCGCACATGGCACAATTTTGTTCACCCTCTTTGAAGCTTAATAACTCCTGTGCTGTTTCTTGAAATTTTCTTAAATTTTGCAGGGAGGTTTGTGTATTGGGGGATTGATGATATGTTTGGTGGTCAAAGGCCAAGGGAATGGATTGATAGAGGGGATTGTCAAATCTCGAGTAGGGTCTGACTTAATGACAATTTTACATATTATTTGCATTTACTTAAAATTTGGTGGATTTGGACTTGATATTTAAAATTTTTTATAAAATTTATTCTTACCCTCAAAATTAAGTTTTTTGCCATTTTATGATAATTAAAAATATAAAAATGTTTTAAAATAAGATATTATAACAGATTGTGCCACTGAATGTTGCTGGGAAAGTTAAGCAACCCATTACTGGATTTTTTAATATGATGTAATGAAATGCAGCAGATGGAATGTATTTTTTTTTAACACTTATGAAATAAAATTTAGTTTTTGTTCAATATTACTATATAAAGAATACGAGATCTGTTTAAAAAATACGCAGACTGACGTCATAAAACAAAATGTACTTTATGTAGAAGTTACATGTCTGGGTTCCCTTCAAAGTACTCTCCTTCCCAACACACACACTTATTCCAACAGTGTTTCCACTTGTTGAAATGGTCCTGGTACACTTCTTTTGTAATGTCCTTCAGCACCTTTGTCGCATTTGCCTTAATCTCAGGAATTGTTTCAAATCTTCTTCCTTTCAAGGGTCTTTTGAGAGTGGGGAACAAGAAAAAGTCACAAGGAGAAAGGTCAGGTGAGTAGAGGGGTGGGGAAGAACATTGATCGAGTGTTTGGCCAAAAACTTACAAGTTATGAGGGCTGAATGGGCTGGAGCATTGTCATGATGGAGAAACCAATCACCACTCCTCCACATTTCTGGCATTTTGCAACGGATNACTGTACATTAATACTTTCTACTTTCCTGCTTTATATTACTTTTTAATGTTTTTATAAAGTTAACCAGATTCTTGTTTACCCAAGAAACTGTACGTAAAAACTCATTAGATATTTAAATAATCTTCAATCGCAAAAAATGTAAATTTATATATTTCTCGCGTAGTAATATATTTACGTAAAACAAAAAAAATATCTAATGTTTTATTTCACGACAGGTTATGACATTAAAATGACAAGAGCTAACAATAAAATTTTTAGTCAGGTGTTGTGACATCTGTTGCATTGTACAGAAACGTATTATTCAACTTTTTAATAATACGTTTTTAAAATCGGTAGGACGACACTTTATAAATAAACTGTCTTTTCATCAAATTGTTTAACGATACATTAAATATATTATTTGTTTAGCTAATTCATAACTGTATTATGATGATTATAGTACAACTTTATTTTCATGTTGTAATCGATTTGAAGTTATTTATTTTATTATGATATAATTTATCGGTTAGTAGGCTAATTGCTTCTTGTGTAACAAACGTATTTAAATTTCAGTGTTTTGAAATAACAATAGAACGTTCGTGATAAACTATGTATAGCGTTTTCTTTTGAACTTAATAATAAAATTTAGGCTTATCTATAACCTTTATGTATGTGTTAAAAATTGTATAAAATTATCAGAAATTGCTATTTTATAAAAAACAAATGTAAGGACATTAAACAATTCTAGCATACAGGTTAAAGAATATCAACACTTACTATTCGGTGATGTTATCTTCGTTATCGTCGTAGGAATAGTAATAAAATCCGTGCAGTTGTTCTTGTAACACTCCCTCGAATTCTATAAACAAACTGTAATTTGCTAAAGACAACTTTTCTAATAAAGTCAAAATTATAAAGTCGATTTCCTCATCGTAATCCATTCTTAATATCTTCACATCATTTCCAGAATCTCTTAGAATTTTAATACGGTCCAAACTTAAGGATAAGCCCTTGGAATGAAAGATAATCGTGTCTGTACTTTCTATGCAAGCAAAATTGATATTTACACTTCCATTGAACTTAAAATTGTCGGGTCCCAAATGCGGTTGAATTTCCAATCGGTAGTGGTGTGGAATGATGGTTTTCGGCAGGAAAATGCCTCTCGGTTCCTTCGGTGTAAAAATTAACACACAAAAATGTAGGACCAATGCGAAAATCACGAGAATTGCGATCCCCGCAATTACAATGCAAACCAGAGATATCCATTTCCAATTTTTCAAAAGTATCGGATCCCATTGCGAGAAAGGAGACTTTTTGTTTCCTTCGATTTCTAATTTATCCATTGTTCTATGAATGATTAAGTGTAAACATGGACTCCGACAGAACGCAGGGAGACGTTGATTCCAAATTTAATTACTTCTGTTAGTAGTTACAAGGATAAAGTCGGCGTGGTTCTACTCTCGACCCCGTCAGAGCAGCACCACCTAGATAACAAGGCCATTTCGCTGACTCATAACGTCATCAATAGATGTTTTTTTTTGCAGACTTTTTAGTTTTTAATAATATTTTTTTTTATTCATTCCGTTTATGACAGAATTTTTACTTAAAATGGTTAGCTTAATTTATACTTTAAACGGTAAATTTTCTATTTAATTTTATTCACAATATCAAAAGTATGATATTTTATGTAATACATTTACTGAAGCTTTATTGAATTATTTTTCACATTTCAGAAATTTATAATAAATGTTTATATTATCAAAAATATAATGCTTAACAATATAAAGTTTAAAAATTACATTTCAGCAAGTTATCACAGAATCAAACAGTATAACAGTATGTAATCATTTTATAAATGCATGAGCAAAAATTAAATTTAAAACATTTTTAAACTTATTTCTGGAGATTCTCTTTTATTAGAGGCAGACGATAAATATGATGAATAATTGGGAAAAATAGTAGCGACAGTATCTTTAGCTAACCTCGGCTACTTCAATGATGCTATTACTATTTTTCCTGTTTCCTCATGAGAAAATCTAAGTATATCCGACGGTGAAAAGTAAACTTCACATACCTGTAAGTTATTAAAAATTAAAACGACTAAAAACATATTTAAAGACAAATACTCATCAAAATAATAACAATTTTAAGTAATGAGAAAATAATTATAATTAAAAACATACATTTATATACATTTGTAGTGTAATTTATTAGGATGCATCATTTTCATTCCATGTTTTTAATTTATTTTTTAAATAAAAAATTTGAATTTTGTTTTGGAATCATAGTAGATATATACTTCATGAATTGATAGATTATTATATAATCACAATTAAATACATTTCGCATAAAAATAAATTTAAATATAAAAATTTGTATATTGTTATATATTTTGGAAAATCATAGTAGGGCTGTCCATATTTCCTTCACCACGTAAATCTCTACTAATTACATTTCCTACTGAATTTTATAATGGAAAAATCATTTCCCCATTATGAAAATTTACTAGTGAAACTTAATTAACTTCCAGTAACTGGGAAATATTTTTTTACTCAATCATTTTTAAACATTTACCCCACATTTACCTAAAAAATTAAACTATCAAATTTTATTTCTGTGAAATACATAAAACATTTTTCATATGTGTAATTATTAACAGGTATTATGTATTAACTGTCTGTTAATAATTCTGTAATACATAAAGTTATAATAGTTAAAACTGTATCATATTTAAAATAACAGTTAAAATAGTTATATTTCAGTGTTCAAAATATAACTTAGTTAAATTTTGAACACTGAAATACACATAACGCTTGATTTAATTTTATTAAGCAATTACTGTATATCAAACTACCATTAATTATTTTATCTTACAGAACTCTTATAATAAAAATCATAATTTTTAATTATCTCAAAAATCAAATGTAAAGGACTAACATTGTATTGTAGAAATTTCAATAGTAAATTCTCTAAATGTTATCTGTAATTGTAAGTTAAAGCTTATGGCTTATATTCAGAATTTGCCTATAATTCATTGAGTAATGGTATTCATTCAAAATTCTAAAAGTTCTGAAATCCGATTCATTATCTATTTTATTCTGTGTAGCCTTATTATTTTTTATAAATTCCATTAAAGTGAAACAATTATATACTAATAAATAATAATATAAAATAAGTACTTACTTTAGATGACTTATTGGGCTTAAAATTGTTCCTAAGGATTGAGCACATCATTTGGTTTCTTGGAACAGCTCCTTCAAAAATTAGAATATAGAAGACCTCTTATGATCCGCGCAATTTGATTTACAAGGAACACAACACGCCGATGATATTTCAAACAAAATTTTACGAAATTTTTTATAAAGACCAGTAATACAGACTTATACTATAAAGGACTAATGGTTAGCGATCCACGTGTTTAGTGATCTTCTGATGACGTCAGAGAATCATGTTCGGAAAACGAATAGACCTTGATCTATGTGATGATGGTGGTCAGAGTCGATTTTCTTAATAGATTTTTTGTAAGTCGTTAATTACCATTAATATGTTTTGAATTGTTAATTTAAATGACCAATGAAAATATTTTTAAATATATTATACTTTAAACAAGCTATAACTTCGTCATACATTTAATGTACAGTACAATACATGTTTAGTCTTTGCTCTTTGGAATTCTAATCCAGATCAGAACGTTAACATAGTTATTTTCATAATTTCGATGGAGTTAAAAAATTAAAATCTATCGAAACTATAAATACAGTATTATCGTTAGAGTCGAATTATACACAAGTAATTAAAATACTGAAAAATGCTACATTAGTATTATATTACCAGGGGGTCCCCCACTTGCTTAGTCCACTTGTTCACAATATAGACTATTCATAGCAAAAATTTTGTGACTATTCATTGATTTTCGATACTGCCGTTTCTATTATTTTCCCATGGCGGAAAAACGTTCGTGACGATTATAAGTTAAGTATTTTATATATAGAGCCTCGTAGATAAAGATTTGATAAAGTTTTGAAAAATTGATATATTTTTTTTCTATTGAAATTGAATATAGACCTATGTTGAATAAATAAATTGAATATAGATTATATATATTTTTAAATCTAGCAAAGGTTGCGTAACTTTCCCGGCTGTTGTGAGATTATATTTTAAAAATAACTTTTGTATTATTAATCAAAATAAATAAATAAAATTTTATGTCGCGCCATCTGTTATGAAATTTTGTTATAAAAATTTTATATATTTTTAATTCAGAAAACTTTTAACATGAAAATATGAAAATTTAAGTCATCGGTACGAAGCAAAATTTAGCTTAATAGTTCTTTACATTACAAAATATGATTGAATTCGATCAGTGATATCACGGAAGTACAGTGCAATCAAACATGTGGCTTAAAAACGCGACTTTATTTAAAATAAAAACAAAATAACATTTACATTAAATAATCTTTAATGGATGGTTATTCATTTATATACATTTCAAATCATAAATCACTCATATTAATCTTCAAAATATAGTATATAGATTAACGAGAAGAAAATACTCGAAATATTAATACATTTTTGTGAAAACTTGAAATAAGCAACTTCTATAATTTCTGGTAAGCTTCTGATGTGTGATTCTTCCTAAAATGTTTAAACCGAAAGCAATTGCATTCATATTGAAAGGTTACGTCATTCATTCAGCATTTTATATGACGCAGTTAGATTTATTCTTACTAGTCTCGTAATTATCTCGAAATCACGGCAATTTTTTTTGGATAAAAATTTTGATAAATATTATAAGAGTTAGCATTTGTCCATGAATTGCTATAAGTCATATTATGTCCAAGCAATGATACAGTAGAAGGATTATATATTCTTTACATCATTTAGCACAAATCATAGAAACTAAGAAAACTTTTCATAATTTAATAAGGTAATGAATTAACTGATCCACTTCTTTTCTTTCAACCAATTTTCGGCGCATCTTCGAAAAGGCTTATACATTTCCAATTTTTCTCGGCCTTCGCTCAAAGCTTCTTCAAATTTTTTCACAATCGTTTCATCTTTAATTTCTTTTAAACGAAATTTTATAATAGATTCCAGCTGAAAATTAAAAAGTACTTTAATATTTATATGTATTTTGATTTCTTAATATACAAAACGTAATGAAGTTTCTCGAAAATAAAGATTAACTCTCTCTCTTATCCAGGAAGCAGAATTTCGAAAAATCCCTTCTTAGTGTGCAATCTCATGGCGTACTCCGTGTACCAAATTTCAACGTTCAATTCCTAACCGTTTGAGCTCTGCCGCTTATTGTTATTATTATTATTATTATTAACCAATCTCGATTATATATATAGATATTACGTACTTGTATTTTATAAACTACATAAAATAATTTGAAATACCTTTTGAAAAAGCTCTTCGTTAATCATTAACGTACTTGTGAGATATAAAGCATTCTTAAGATCACTAGAAAAACAAATTAATTCAAAAATAAATATTATTTGCTTAGATTGCTCTATTTAAATGCAACAAGCATTTAAGTATCAAATAAACATTCGAAATCTTAATAAGAAATAAAAAGTCAAATTAATATCAAGTTATAAATTTAATATTTTAAATTACTGTAAATTAATACGAACTTACCGGATATATCACAAAAAGTATTTTTAAAATTTTAATAAGGTAACTAAAGGCAACGGACATATACAAATTTGTGGAAGTCTGAAAGGTGGATGTCTTCACATTAAAGTTGTGAAGACATCCATCTTTCAGACTTCCACCCAGCTTGAAACTTTTTAAACACCCAGCGTATAGCCCCAATTTAGCGCCGAGCGATTTCCACCTCTTTCCTGAACTGAAAACGTTGCTAGGATGGCAGAGGTTAGAGACTAATGACAATCTTCAAAACAACGTTAAGGCCCTTCTCAACTCACTAGCAACATTCTATGAAGAGGGGATTGCAAAGCTCGTCCAGAGATATGACAAATGACTCAATCTTCACGGTGATTATGAAGAAAAGTAACCATGTTTGGTAATAAATTCATTTTGTTATTTACACTTGTTTTTTATGCACTATCGGAGGTTGAAAAAACCGCTCTCTTATAATTTAAACCTACAATACAATGAAAAATCGGCTCTTGCTTCGTCAGTAAATCGAATCCGTTAATCTACCTCTATCTGTCTATAAATTCGTAAAATGAAACTTTATGGATGTAGACAATTTATAATTCCTGTCGGAATTTTTTAATTATTAATTATTTTAATTATTACTAATTATTAATAAATTAATTCATTAATTTATAATTCCTGTCAGAATTTTCGTGTAGAAAGTGTTAGGAGAAAATTTTTAAACGAGATCAACCGACTCTACAAATAAACATTGGCGACTCGTAATAAACACTGTGGAATGAAACACACCAAAGAAAAATAAACCAGCAACGAGTTCCTCAATTCAAGAATAATTTAGACGGGCATCATTCTCTATTTCTCTTCCGTGATGATCGATTCAGTCAGTGGATATAAAAATAAACCGACCATATGACCCCCGAAATCAGATTAATTTAAAGACGCAAACAGACCTGTCGGCCGAGATAGTAAAAACGTCATTAACTTGTCGCTCTGGAGAATTGGAATTCGAAACTGCATCGAATATTCAGAAACTTTTGCAAGTGATATCACTGATTCTGGGGTATCGTCAGTCACTAATCACTCACCTTTATTATGGGCCTATTCTAATCAAAGATTTTGGCGGTAGGCTTTTTTATGCCATCCTAATGGCCGCAGCTCGAAAAGTGTTTAAAAATCTTAAATACATGACTGATAAATTAATTTTAAATTTTCAAAAATTTCTGCTTACTTTTCTATAAAATAGACGATGTTTTCGTTATATATTCGAATCAGATCTGTCCAAGTTTCTCTTATTCCGGTAGCAACAGAAATTACAGAAATTAAGGATTCTAAGTCCTTACTGACGTTTAAAACTCTAAATAAAACATAGTTAACAATTTCAATATAATATATAAAAATTTTTAATAATAATTTAAATATAATATATTTAAAAATACATTTTAAATTTATATTTAAAATATCATAAAGAAATAATTTATATCAAATTAAACATTTAAAATACTCTGATTGTCAAAAAAGTTATGCACCAAGAAGGAAGTGTTGAAATCGAATGACACTCTTTTAGTGTAAACATAATAACGATGATATAAACTGATTAGATATGAAAGCAGAGATGATTTTCTCTACAACAACGATCCATTTAAAGCGATTTTTAGTATCTTGAAGAATCTTTTCTTATCTGAATTCACGCGACGATATGATAGGGTTTGCAGGCACCTATGCTATTCTACGACAAATTTGCCCACAAATATTGCAGATTTCGCTCCAGATTCCTTATTCTTTCATATAGCCCAAGCAGGACCGGCATGAACTTTTGCAGGTTTAGGTTTAAAATTGTGAGAAGCTAAAACAGCGCATTTATATAAAATTCTAAATTTTATAATATTAAATTATTTATTGTAAGTACAAATTGCGAATACGTACATACATGCTATTAATTTTACTACTTATAGTTAAAATAAACTACATATATTTTTAATTAAAGATGGTCGACGGTAATTTACATAGTAAAAATACATTGAAGAAAACAAAAAAAAATTTTTCTTCACAATCCATTGTTTCATAGTCACCATAAAAAAAACCAGATCTTCACTTACAGAGACCTTCCAGAAGAAAGGCATTTTTAATCAATTTACATTTTTTTTAAGAGGCATAGCCTCAAATACAGGTCGTCTCTGTGAAGATTTATGTATGTGTAGTTTTTTTTCTTTTGGTTTGTCAATGGTGACTGTGAAAGGAAGGATTGTGAAGACAAAAGTTTTTCTATTTTTTAATATATTTTTAATATATATATATGTTACCGCTAAAGCTCGAAACTCGTTAATCTGCAGATTACCTAGCTAATCTGCAGATTAACTAGCGTGATCCGTTAAAGTTGTGAAAATTGTTCCATTTCTCAAATTACCTAGATAATGTGCAGAGTATCTAGGTAATCCGCACATTACCTACTAGGCACTCGGTAAAGTGAAAATAAGATCTTTGCCACAAATAAATGTACCACAAATAGGTGTGCTTGTCGCA